AGGTGGTGGCACCCGCCCTTCGGCTGCGCCCCGCTCGGTCGGTGTTCCCAAGGGAGCAGGGCACCCGGTCTGGGCACCTTCCTGCAAAACCCAGTCTTAGCCCAGCTCTGGTACAGTCTGACGTGTCGCGTAGTCCATAACGTTGAGGTTACGCTACGATCAGGATCTTTTTCTTCCAAGAGCAGCACTTGCGTATGAAGAAGGACGAAGTAAAACGTGGGGAAGAAATAACCGTGCTGTTGAGAAAGCAACAGAGCAGTCAGTCCCCTGGGTGGACGCGGGGAGCTACTGAGGTGGTGCCGGGGGCCGGTGCCGCCCTCGGCACCTACCAGCCGAACAGAGGGGTGCTGGGGTGCGGTGCAGTGCGGGGCTGTGATGGGTGACCCCTTGCTTGCAGGAAGACGACGGACAATCACAGGAAAAACACAAAAAAATGGCTTTCAGGTTCATGTCCTGAAAATAATTGCAGGCAATGGATTCCTCCCCCTTTTTTCCTCCTGTTATTTTCTTAACTGCAAGAGATGCTAATATAAAATTAGTATCTGAGCGTATCTCCTGCTACAGGATAATATTTGGGTAATGGATGTTTTTGGAAAATAGTACTACTGAATTGCTGTTGACTCATGAATACGAATAATGCTTGATACATACTGAAATTCTTCTGTTGCTTTTACAAGAGCTCTCCACATTTTTAGCAACAAAAGCATTTCAAGATTTATTCTTCAAGGCATTATTTTAGAATTAATTCTTAAGATCTTAAGATTCGTCTTTCTTGTGGCAATATGCCATGAGCAACTAATAAAGTTTTTCTGTATAAACTACAATACATTTTATAGAAATTACTACTGTCTTCACAGGCACATGCAAATAATTTCTCTTCTTATTCTAGACAAGTGAGTTGATACAGATTTGCTTGTCCATAGAATCACAGTTACTGTCCCAATCACGGTACATCTGGGAATGCAACTCAAAGGAAGCAAATCCAGTACATAAACCCTAAATTAAATCAGAGATTATGATCATGTTGTCTTCTCTGCATCCCCTTAGCACGGGACAAATAGATCCAGATGCTGCATGCCAAACAGCCAGCATGTAAACCATGATTAATATATGATTAAAATCATCCTTTGAGACCAAAAGCTTGAATATATATGGTAATTCTAGCTGCAATTTTTCTAGGTAGTTTAGAACCATACTAAAAATACATTTCAGATTTGCCTTTGATCTATAGGGCTTATGCTTATAGAATTACAGGCCATGCCAGAAGGAACTAGTTTGCCACCATGTTGCAGAGTCCTAAACTTTGCAAATTATCCATTAAATCTTTGACATAAAACTCAAACGGGCCCATAGCTAGCAAGCATTTGCTGTTTAACTAACCATTGGGGTAGTGTATCAGAAGTGCTCTTCCTTGCATGGTATTTCTGTACTCGGACTGCAACCCCAAAACCAGAGGCCTAGGATAATTTCATCTCTCAGCAGGCAAATCCTTTATAACGAAAACTTAAACATAATTTTTATCTTGTGTTCCCAATTTAATGAAGGGTATCATATTAGAGGAGCATTTTGTTTGGTTTGGTTTGTTGTTTCTCTTTGAAATTTGTGGTTATTTTTGATAAAAACTGGGGCAGGAGATAACTTCAGCTCACCTGTCTTTAAGCGTCTACAACGTGGTGCTCACATCTGAGCTATCTGTCAAGTTCCCCAGTATAGTCTATAGAGATTTGTCTCTGCAGTTAATATATTCTATGGGATTGAGGGTGCAATCCGCCTGGCCAAATGTAACACCGCTTTCAGGATGAGAGAGAAGTAAATAGTCAACACCCACATTAGAGTAGTCAAATCCTACTCAAGATTTCTTCAGGCTGAATCCTGTACTGAAAACAGACAATGCTTAGTTTTGCTCCGCAAAGGTGCCATTGATTGACTTTGTCGTCCCATTACTCATCTAAGAAGTGAAAGAAACAAGAGCTGGCTTATAAAATGAACGGGCAAGTGGCCATTGTGCTGCAAAGCTAAAAGGTTCTCCTGGCTCTTGTGGCTGGTGTATGAACATTCGTGTAACTGTGCATATGGACAGCATACCTTAAAAGACTCCTGATGCTGAAAAGTAGCGGTCTTTTAATTGTGGTGTCCATGTGGGGAACAGGGGACTAGTCCTCTGTTATCATAGACATTGTGCTACATGAATGTCTTCATAAATTTACCTTAGCTCCATACTGAAAAAAACCCCAAGCCTGTGTTATTCTGCTGTAGACCTACTACTCTAAATGCAAGTCTGTTCTGCAATGACATTCCTATAACTTCTAGGATTTTTTTTCCAAATTCTATGCTAAATTTATTAATTACTAGTTTGCACCATGTGTGCTTGATTTCTGGCTTAAATATTTTCCTTATTGTTTACCTCTTTGATGTATTTATGGGCAATTAGCATGCATTCCGTTTCAGTATTTGGCTTGTTAGCCTAAACAAAATAGAGCTCTTCTGAACTGTCCTCAGAAACTATGCTTTCCGTTTCCATAGTCATCATGGTACCCTTTATTTGCACCTATTCCTTGTTAGTTCATATTTCATACATGATCAGAATCTTAAACTGTCCCTCAGAGGTGATTTTACTGCATCACTTAGAGTTCTTTACCTCTGCTGGGAATATTTTTACTAATGCATCTTAGGTTATATTTGCTATGTTATGGTAAGCTTGTAGGCACCAGTGTATATTTAGCTCCTTTTCCATATGAGTGTTTTTGCAGAGGCAGCAATGATGATAGGAATTTTTGTCTCTAAAGAGTAATACAGTCTGAACATCTTCTGTTCAGAATCTTCAGTATCTCTGAGAAGGACCAAGAAAATATGGCCCTAAATACAAATGTCACATCTTCCTTGCTCACACTCGTTTTTAAGAATTGAAAGACAAACACTACCATAGACGTGACCAAATTCCAGAAGGAATTCCGAAGAGAGGTAGAAGGTAACCTGCGGTAAGCTCAGACATTAAGCAGGAATATAGAGATGCCATCTGAGATTCAGACACAGTTTCCAAAAAGACTCAGGTCTCTTTCTGCTGGCCAGTAAAGAGACAGTTTTTCAGTTCTAGTTGGTAAAAAAGAGGAGTCTGCCCACAGGGAAAAGTTGTGAGTAATAAGTTATGAGTTTGTGATAAATTAGGAAGACCCATT